TGCTAATGAAACTCGGAGCATCCCCTGGCCTTGAGGAGGCCTAGTGGTTCTCTAGAGCATTTTGAGTGAGAACAAAAGAGGTTTTTACATATCAAGGTGAGGGGTAAAGCAGCATTCCTGAGGAGGCAGGGAACAAGGGGCCCAGGGAAAGAAAAGGCAGGCATTTTCTGTAGACAAAGACAGAACAGCGTGGCGAGAGAGAAGAGAGGATGACAGAGGTTCCACAGAGGGTAAGCAGATCTCGGTAGAGTTTTCTGAGAGCCAGGAGTAGAGAGCAGCAGAGATGGAGAAAGAGGAGACAGAGGACGAAGATGAGGCTGAAAGCACAGGAGTTAGTCGTTAGCTGGACTATGAGCTAGGGAACTAGAAAGAACTGTAGTTATGGAGACAAGATTTCATCCCAGAGAAATAAAGCAGACGGATGAAGAGCTTGCTATGTCTAGAGTTGTTCCTGCCTTGAATGCCTGGTGGAGCTATAGCTGAATTGATGTAATTTTGTTTTAGAGGAATAAAGTTAACAGACATAAGAACATAGTGTATGTAGATATTCCCCCTCAGATCCCACATCGGGATGAGCCCCCTGACCCCCTGGGTACTCCATAACTATGGGAAGTTCATGGATCCCCATAGTGTCTCTTGTCTAGTTCTAGAAGGCTCCAAACTGGCCACCTCAGCTTACAAGTGAGAACTAGCTGGCAGGCAAAGGCTCCAGGATGGAACACAGGCTGGCCATCTCTTTGACGGCGGCATGCAGTTCTTTACAGGTTATACAGAACCTGGTGCCCCAGATGTCCTGGCCGGATGCTCTTTGCTGCGTGTTTTGCTCAGCCCTCTCCACTCTGCAGACAGGGTTTTTAATATACAGGCAGATATTCATGGCATGGCTTCTGAATCCTCCTTCGTCAGGATTCTGCCCCTTCACGGACCCATGCAGTGACGCTTGCTTCCTGATTCCTCAGGACCCATAGATGGAGCCCACCTGTGGAGTCCTTGGCAGGCAGATCGGCCTGAGGCTCATCCAGCGACACATCTTGCCTGTAGCTCCGTACTTTTTTTGGAGTTGGCAGATTCTAGCTTCAGCTAGTTGATCAACCAGTTGTCTCTAAGCTCCAGTGCTTTGTCTTTTTTTTTTTTTTTTTTAATATTTTATCTTTATGTGTATGAGTGTTTTGCCTGCATGTATGTATGTCCACCTCCTTTTGTGCAGGTCAGATGAGGGTGTCAGGTTCTCTGGAACCAGAGCTACAGACAGTTGTGAGTGGCCGTGTGGGTGCTGGGAATGGAACCCAGTTCTTTGAAAGAGAAACACGTGGTCTTCACTGCTGAGCCATCTCTTCAGCCAGTCCCCCACCCCCACCCCACACGCACCTTTATTTTTTCCAGACAGGGTCTCACGGTATAGATCTCAGAACTCACAGAGATCCCCCTGTCTCTGCCTCCAGCGTGCTGTGATTAGAGGCCTGCCACACCATGCTCAGCTCTCATTGTGTGTTACGTGATTACCACTTGAATCTGCCTACAGGTCGTCTTGGTCCGCGTCTCTGCGTGTCTGGACATCCACCCGTCCCACCTTATCCACTGACTTGGAAGCTACAGGTGCTGCCTGGCAGCCACGTTTCTGTAGCGCTCTCCATCAGGCACTGCGCATGTCCCGCCCTCCCCACAGCGGCCTCTGCAGACCCTCAGCTCTCTCCCAGGCTGGTCTCCCCGGACTCTCAGCACCCGGCCCTTCTCTGGAGTCTTGGAGACAGTGTTCCATGAGTCTGGTTCCTGACCCTCCTTGTTCCCACCGGCCCCCGTCTTCCTTCTAACTGGAGTTTTGTTTCCTGTCTGTCCAGCCCCGCTGACCCAGTGGCTACAAAACAACTAAGTTCTCTGCGATCTGCAGCCATGTACTCTCCAGTGAGAGGGGAACTCCTTAGAGGGGGTCATTTTCCAAGTGTCTGTCTGTGTACTCTTTCAGTTCTAGGGTACTACGTAAAGGTTCTCTGTCCTCTCCCGCCCCCTTGCACCCCACCCCCCTTTTTCTTTCTTTCTTTGAGATAAGGGCCCTCCTGTAGCCCAGGCTGCCTTGGAGTTCACTCCACAACCAAGTACAACCTTGAGCTCTCCTGATCTCTTGCCTTTACTTCTTGAGCGCTAGGTTACAGGCATGGACCCCAAAGCCTGGTTTATACAGTGCTGGGGTGGAGCTCTGGAACTCCTGCATGCTAGGCAAACACTGTCAGCTAAACCACATCCTCAGCCCACACTCTCTTATTTCCTAGTGTTGGTCTTTTAGAGTATTTTAAATTTGTATGAAGATAGGCTTTTGCTGTGTAGCCCTGCCTGAGCCTGCAAGATGACCCAGTGGGTAAAGGTGCCTGTCACCAAGCCTGATGACCTGAGTTTGGTCCCCAGGAACTACATGGTGGAAAGAGAGCAGACTCCCATGATTGGCCTCTGGCCCCTACAAGGTGTCAGATACTACCTCCAACCACTAAATAACGTTAGCCCTGGCTGGCCTAGGATTCGATATGTGGACCAGCCTGGCTTTGAACTTGCAGTGATCCTCCTGCCTTTCCTGAGTACTGGGGTTACAGATGTGAGTCACTATACCCAGTCTCCTGTATTTTAAATTTTCTGTGTGTCAAACTTTGCCTGTTTATGGGGCTTGAGAAATGGCTGAGTGGTTAAGAGCACCTCTGCTCTTGCAGAGGACCCAGGTTCCATTCCCAGCACCCACAGGACAGCTCACAACCTCCTACTGCTCCAGTTCCAGGGGATCCGATGCCCTCTTCTGTCCTCTTTGGGGACCAGGCACACAGATATTCAGGCAAATCATTCTCATGTGCGTATGTGTATGGATATTAAAAACAGAACCAAACACTTGGTCTGTTTAAATCACAACAGGTTGTCTCTTTTCTGCTCTTGTATCTCTCTTAACTGGATTCAGACTGAGGCAGTTTCGGGGCACACAGTTTGAAGTCATCCAGGACTTCAAACTGCCATGTCTGTTAACGAGTCCATTAAGTTCTAAATAAAATGTAATTAGGGGCTTTAATGTGAAATACTTCATGGGTTGTTATGAGTTTTAGTGAAACTTGAGGGAAATGGTTGGGGTTTTAGGATGAGTTTGGAATATGTTACCATTTAAGTTAATGGAATATAGTCTCCTTTTGTCCAAAAATTCATGATCCGACAGATTAGCTGTGGATAATGAGGGATAACTATTATCTTTTCTTTTTATAGTTGTTGCATTTAATGTAAGACCCAAGTGCAACACTCCCCTGGTCTCACCCCTCCCTTAGAGTGTCTTGTGATTGCTTGTTTGCTTGTGTGTTTGTTCCACTTGTGTTTTGGATCTAGAATGTACAGCTGTGATGGCCCTGTGTTGAAAACTTTGTCTCCAACCTGAGGTGACGCTGCGGGTGAAGGAACCATGGGCCCAGTAGAGGAAGTTAGACCTCTGCCAGCATGCCCCAGGGTCTCCTCTCATTTCCATCTTGGGGTTCCTCTGCCGAGTGCTACGGTGACAACCACAAGCTCAAAGACAGTGGGGCCAACTCACCATGGGCTGACACCGAGAGACTGTAAACCAACATAAGCAACAAATGCCCCCTTTCCTTTTTTCCTTTTTGACATGATCTCCTGTAGACCAGGCTGGCCTCAAACATGGCCTTGAACTTTGAACTCCTGGTCCCACTGCCTCTGCCTTCCAAGTACGGGATATAGGCATGTATCCCCAAGTCCAGCACTATTTCTTCATTTTAAGTTACCTAGGACTTTTGCCAAAGTGAATGAAGCGAACACATTTGATCTTATCAACACCATGAATGAGTGTTAGAGATAGAATGGTGAGTGGAATGTAAGAAAGTTCCAGAAGCCCACATATAATTTAGCATAATATTTATAAAGCTCAAATTGGAAATTGCTATTTCTTTGTTAGTTTTAGGTTTTTCAAGACAGGGTTTCTATGTGTAACAGTCCTGGCTGTCCTGGAACTTGCTCTGTAGACCAGGCTGGCCTCAAACTCACAGAGATCCACCTCGTTCTCCCTCCCAAGTGCTGGGATTAAAGGTGTGCGCCATTGCCACCCTGCTTGGAAATTATTTTCATTTTTAAGTTTACTTTTGTCATGCTGGGAATTGAACCTAGTGCCTTGCACATGCTAACCAAGTGCTCTGCCACTGAGCTGCATTCCCAGTCCCAAGTTATTTATTTATTTATTTATTTATTTATTTTGGTTGTGAACCTAGCCTGTAAAGTCTGATTCATCTCTCCAGCCCCCAGGTTGTTTTTAAATACATAATTAAGCCTGGCAGCAGTGGCACACACCTTTAATCCCAGCACTGGGGAGGCAGTGCCAGGCAGATCTCTGTGAGTTCAAGGCCAGCCTGGTCTACAGAGCAAGTTACAGGACAGGTTCCAAAGCTACACAGACAAACCTTGTCTTGAAAAAAAAAAAACCACACAAAAAAGAAAAGAAAAGAAAAAAAGAAAAGAAAAGGAAAACTCATACAATTTATATAGTAAAGTTGTGGGTAGTGTTAATTCTGGATGCCAGGTGGAGGGGCAGTGCACAGATCGATACAAAAATATTAGTGAAGCAAGGCTTGGGGGCGCACAGCCTAACTTCCAGCACTAGAGTGACAGAGGCAGGCCAATCAATCACCTTTAATTTGAGACTAGCCTGGTCTACATAGGGAGTTCCAGGATAGCCAGGACTAATAGAGAGCACCGGTGTTTAAAAACAAAACAAACAAGAAACCTCACAACTTGAAACAATATGTCAATATTCAGTCTCAGAACCAGAGTGGTTCAATGCATCACAAAGAAACTTCCTTTAGAAAAAGGGGGGAAATTCTATGAGAATCTTACAAGTGAAAGTGCAGCTTTGTATAGTCTCTCCTTGTTTATTGGCTTATAAGAACCAGAAAATTTGCATTTTAGTAACAATATTTCCTACTGAGGTGTTTGGTGGACTTTTTGCTACTCAGCAAATTCAGGAAGAACAACAGTCAAGCATTGTCTGTCACAGTGACTAAGGTTAACCAGGAGTGTACCTGCTGGGAGCCTTCCCCGGTGGTGGAGGTGGTGGATGGGTCTGGCAGAGGGTGTAAGGAGTCGGCGGCGGTGGGGAAAGAAGTGAGCCAGGCCATGGTGGTTGGGAGAATCTTGCAGCAACTGCCCTGAGCATTTTGCCATGTCTCAAGCAGTGTATTATTAACTCTTAGTGGTCAGAGTGCCCAGGAAAAATACTCAGGCCAAAGCTGCTGCAGTAGTTATTCAAATTCTGGCATAATACACTGTTCACATTTATATCTTTATAGAATTTATTTATATGTCTAATCCTGGCATTCTGTTGTTCCTTGGTCATATGACATTATAGTGGCTCTGCATGAGCTAACTTCTAAGAGAGGGAGGTCCTGACACCTCATACTTTTATTATCTTTCCACTCCACACTTTGCTCGCCAATATGTCTTTGTGTAGGGCAGTTGTATACCACGTAATTGTCTGACTGTACGGTGGGAAGAGCCTTGCAATCTCAACTGGACAATTCCTCTAGCCCACTGAATCTTGTTGACCTTTTTAATTTTACTTTGTTTTGAATATCTTGTTTCAGTGTAAGTCAGGGACAGATGTTTCAAGAATGTCTCAGAGCCTCATGAAGAGACCTCTGGCTTCTTCTTTATGTGTCACAGCCTCCACGGCGTAAGGAAGACCTTCAGGGTGATAAGGATATCTCCCTAAAAGTGTGTGTGTGTGGAGGAATAGTATGTTCAGGACTTTCCTGGGTGAGCTTAGAAGCAGCATTCCTGGGAGAAGGTGTAAATGATTCATAAGGAATTTTCTATCAACCCAATGTCCTCAAATTGTACAAATATTAAAAGTGCCCCAAGTATGTAAGAGGTGGAGGTGAGAACCAAATATGGCATGGCAGCCATCATGGGGCTCAGCTCTGCTGGATCTGTGTCAAGCAGCTGCTGCCTCTATGACTTCTGTCATTCCATTCAGTTATGGCTGTGCCATGTACCTTTGAATGGGATTTATTCACACAGTGCCCAGAGCTCACCAATGGGTCACTTCTCCTGGTGCTTACGGATCCAAGCCCTCAGTCCTCCAACCTGAGCTCATAGCAGGTCCCAGATTAAAGATGACATTGGCTTTCAAATCCAATAAGCTCCTGAAAAGGCATTGTTTACCTGACAAGACTCTTCTGATGCTTCAAATACCCAGAAATTAGTTAGTAGTAGTAGTAATAATACTACTAATTACTATAGTTGTATAAGAATATAAATAATACATGTATAGTAATAATAAAAAAAAATTTGTTTCCGGGTTCTTGGTTTTGTTTTATTTTTGAGACAGCGTCTTAAAATATTGAGGATCCTGAAAAGAAAATTTTGGGATTGTTTCAAGTCCTTGCTCCAGTAGTCTGTGAAGTTGAATCGTCTCAGCTAGCCATCTTGAAATTGTCCTGAGTAGTTTGTCCTGAATTCAAAGCCAATCTTTGGGTGGTGTTAATCAGCTTAATGGTATTATTGTAGTCCATGTGGAATTGTCAATTGTTGTGAGGTCCCATCATCCTTTTGTAGATTTCAAAGTTGCTTTTAGGTGTAGTCATGGTTCCCTGCAGGTTTTTTTTTTGTTTGTTTGTTTTTGTTTTTTGTTTTGTTTTGTTTTTGTTTTGTTTTTTTTTTGTTTTTGTTTTTGGGTTTTTTTGTTTTGTTTTTGTTTTTTTTTGTTTTGTTTTTTTGTGGGTTTTTTTTGTTTTTTTTTTTGTTTTTGTTTTTTTTGTTTGTTTGTTTGTTTTGAGACAGTTTCTCTGTGTAGTTTTGGAGCCTGTCCTGGATCTCACTCTGTAGCCCAGGCTGGCCTTGAACTCACAGGGATCCACCTGGCTCTGCCTCCCGAGTGCTGGGACTAAAGGCGTGTGCCACCACCGCCCGGCTCTCTTTGTGACTTTTCTCATGATGCTTTAGGTGATCCGACCGTGCAAAGTTCTTGTCGCACTTCAAGCATTTGTAGGGCCGCGCTCCAGTGTGCTTCTTCTTGTGCCGGTTGAGCTCATCCGATCGTGAGAATTTCCACTGGCATCCAGGCATGGTGCACACGTAGGGCTTCTCCCCTGAACCAGAGAAAAGGAGAGGCTTTGTTACAGTCAGGGAAGGGGGCCGGGGTCCTGACAGTAACCAAGGACAAGGTTAGACAAGATGGAGAGGAGACTGAAGTATGAAAAGGAACAGCTGGAGGGAAAGAGGAGTTGGAAATACAAGAAACCTTTGAAGGATAGGAAGAAAAACAGCAAAAGGAGGTAAGGAAGGGATGAGCAAGAAAGCCAATGACGGAATAAGAGAGAAGGAAGGAGACGGTCCCCACAGAGGTAGAGTGAAGTCTCGGAGTTGGGCACATGCCGATAGCCCTAGGTACCTGCGGGCTCAGGTGGAAGAATTTCCTGAACCAGCGTGTTGAATACCAGTGTGGACGACATGCTGAGACCTCATTTCCCCAGGGGATAAAAACAAATAAAAGCTCATGAACCTCCACAAGGGACCAAATGAATACCTCACTTATCCCATCATGCAGTACCAGGGACGTCACAGAAGGCTGTGGCCTAGTCTGACACTGGCCTGAGACCTGAGCTGTCAATAAAACCTCTTTATCCACTTTCTCCTGGGGTCCCAGACTTCCAGGAAGTGGCAACAATCTCAGATAATGTGGAAGCCCTACAAAGGCGCAGACCTGTAGCCGCTGACCCCTCCCCCCAGGCCCTCACTCACCAGTGTGTTTTCGGACATGGGCTCGGAGGTGAGAGGACTTTGAATACGCCTGTCCACAGTTTATGTGACTGCACACATACATCTTCTGACTGCTTCTCTTCGACTGAGGGCCCGGAGTCCTGAGATCCTCCTTCACCTCTGGTAGATTTCTCGGAACCAAAGGAGAGCTTGAAAAGCCTTCCAGAGGTTGTCCCTGGGCCGAGTGGAAATTTGGAATGCAGTGGAATCCGTCCTCATCAGGCATCTGGCTACAGAGAAGGGACATCTGCCCTGCACAGCAGGTCAGGCCACCGCTGGGAGTTGTCATCTGTCCCAAATAACAGGTCAGGCCACCACTGGTGTTTGCTGTATGCGAGCCACAGAAACTCTGGTGACCAGTGAAGGTTGTCATCTGACCCCACCAAAGAGTTCCGTCAGCACTGGAGGGTGTCATCTGGCTTCCATAGGTGGTCTGGTCAGAGAAAGTTGTTCCCTGACTTCTGTAGG